ACGCACACACACACACACACACACACACACACACACACACACACACACACACACACACACACACACACACACACCTCTCACCGTTGCGCACGTGTTGATCTCCCATGTGTGCATGTGGTTCGCTCGCCTGTCCCCAGGGTATCTTGCGACGATGCTGCTGCTGGACGAAGGCAAGGAGCTGCACCTCATGGTCACAAACAGCCTCAAACAGGACATGAACAACCCAAACCCGGTGCGATTGTGATTGTGTATGTGTGTGCTTGTGCCTCTGTGTCTCTGTGTCTGTGCAGTGTGTCTGTTCCGTTGTGTGCAGTGTGTTGTCGTGTCTGCTTCTCAGTGTATTGTGCACGGACGGTTGTGTCCTTACTCTTGCGTGCGCCAGGTTCTGCCACACCTCCATCTTCACCTTCATCAATATCATCGTCACCACCAACACCTCCACCATCGTCACCACCCTAACCCCCCCCCCCTCGTCTCTTCGCAGAACATTGCCGGGTTTGCGCTGTGCACGCTCGGGGCGATTGCCTCTGCGGAGATGGCCCGGGACCTGGCCGACGAGGTAGAGAAGCTGCTCAGGTCCTCCAGCCCCGCCCTCAAGAAGAAGGTGACCTGCCCCAGGGCCCCGGTGGTGGTGGTTGCTATGCGTAGTGACGGGTGGATGTGTACTGAGTCGCGTTGGTCCGTTCGTCTGCGTGTGTCTGTAAAGGTTTTGCTCCGAGGTTCTACGACAGCACCAAAGGTTCAAACACCCACACACCCACATACACACACACAATGCACCGTCGTTGTTCACCACACCCCTTTCATCTTGGATGCCTGCAGGCAACGCTGTGTGCCGTGCGCCTCATCCGCAAAGAGCCCGAACTTGTGGAGCAGTTTATCCCCGCAACACGCTCGCTCGTGAGTTGAGAAGAGGGGCGGGGGAAGGGAAACAAAACACGTGACGAAGGGGAGAAGGTTGCTTGCAAGCACTTTTGTTGCTCGTTACACGCATGTTCGTTGCACGCATGTTCGTTGCATGTATGTCCATCACACTGCATTCCCTCCCCCCATATCTCATCAACATTACCACTATAAACACCCCTCATCAACATCGCCACAATCACCACCGCCACAATCACCACCACCACCATCATGATCGCCGCCCACCAGTTGTCTGAGCGGAACCACGCGGTGCTGCTGACGGGAGTGATGCTGCTGCGGGAGATGGCGCAGCTCAACGCAGGCTGCCTCGAATCGTTCAGGAGGGTGAGGCGCACACACACACAAACACACACACACACACACACACACACACACACACACACACACACGTGTACACTTGTCGCTGGTGGAGACAGGTGGGGTGTCGATGGTGGTGGTGGTCGTGTGTTTGTGTGTGTACCATTGACGTTTGCAACGATGACAGTGATCATCATCTTGGATCGCCGCGTGCTTTGTGATGCCTTGCCCTCACCATGACTGACCCTGCTCTCTTCTCGACCCTTTGCCTCATCGCATCATCAGATGGTGCCTTCGCTCGTGCGGCTGCTCAAGACCCTCACCAGCAGCGGGTATTCCCCCGAGTACGACGTCCACGGCATCAACGACCCCTTTCTCCAGGTACAACCATCGTTGCTTGCAAGCACGTTGAATGTTGCATGCGGTTGTACTTTCCACCAAAACCACGTCTCTCACGGCCCACCTGTGCGCATGTTCGTGTTTTGTGGTTTGTGTGCGCGTGTCTGTTTGTGTGCGTGTCTTGTCTGTATGCGTCTACCTGTGCGTGTCTGCGTGTGTGTATTTGCTTTTGTTTTGCATGCCAGACGTCGATTGTGCGGCTGCTGCAGATTCTCGGGCACAACAACGACGAGGCGTCCGAGGCCATGAACGACGTCCTGGCCGAGGTGCCGCGCCATAATGGGGCGGGGGATGAACGAGCGTATCATAGGGGCTGTGCCTGCATGGACGTGTGTGCGTGTGTGTCTGAACATACACTTGTCTGTGTGCGCATGAACATACATTTGTGTGTGTGTGTGTGCACATGAACATACATGTGTGTGCATGTGCTCAGATTGATGCGTTCTCGAACGCTACCTGCACGTCAGCAGCATCTCATCACGATCCCCTGCTTTCCCTGGCATTGGGTATGTGATTGATTGGTGACGTGGCGTGTCTGGTTGGTTGGTTGCTTGACTGATCAGATTGCGACGAACACGCAAACGACGACAAACGTGGGCAACGCCGTCCTGTACGAGGTCGTCAAGTGCATCATGAACATCGAGGCAGAGGTCAGCATGCTTGCACACACGCACACATGCACACACACATGCATGCACACACACACACACGTACACATGCACATGCGCATGTGCATGTGCATATTGGAGGCTGAACATGTATCCATTGACATTTGAAACAATCACCTTCACTTTGTGACCTCATCGCCACCACCGCCATCACCTCATCACCAGGGTGGTCTGCGCGTGCTGGCGATCAACAACCTGGGCAAGTTCCTGCTCAAGCCAGACAGGAACATCAGGTGCGCAGCACACTTCCATCCACTGCATCGCACACACACTCACACACACACACACACACACACACACACACACACCTCACGCCTTCGTGTTTCAGTGCCAACTCCAGCACTGCTCACGTGGGACAGTCTCTTCTGCCCTCATTCGACATCACACACACATGCACGTGCACACACACACGCGCATATTCACACACATGAACACACTTAAATAACACACCACTCACACATGCCAACGCGCGCGCACGCACGCATATTCACACACATGAACACACTTAAATAACACACCACTCACACATGCCAACGCGCGCGCACGCACGCATACACACATACACACACACACACGCATCCATACACACCATCACACCACACATATCACACATACACACGCATATATCTGGGTGCAGGTATGTTGCGCTGACGACGCTGCTGTCGACGGTTCAGGCCGGCGGGAACGCGAGCGAGGCCGTGCAGCGCCACAGATCAACCATTGTCGACTGCCTCAGGGTATGCATGTTGCTGCTGATGATGATGGTGATGGTGATGATGATGATGATGCTGATGATGATGATGATGATGATGATGGTGGTGATGGTGGTGGTGATGATGATGATGATGATGATGATGATGATGATGATGATGATGATGATGACAGTGGTGGTAATTGTGATGGTGAGGTGGCTGGGAGGAGTCAGTTGTGCGGTGTGCGTGGTATGTTGTTGCTGCTGCTTGCTCACCATCATCACCTCTACCTCACCACCGTCATTATCTTCACCGCTACCACTGCGACAATGCTCATCAGGAGCCCGATGTGACTATTCGTCGTCGCGCCCTCTCCCTCTGCTTCTCTCTCATCAACAAGGTCGCACACACACGCCCTGCAGTCACTCCATGCACACATTGCTCTTGCGTTGTGTATCGGCTCGGGCGTATGGTGTGGTGAGGTCCCTGTGAAGCCTGTTTGCTCTTCGTGCTCTCACATGCCTTGGCTTGACGTCTTCCCCCCATCTGCAATCGTGACATTCATGGCATGTGCAGTCGAACGTGCGCGGTCTCGTGGGCGAGCTCCTCGACTTTCTCCACGTCGCAGACAGAGGTTAGGAGCCAACACACACACACACACACACATATGCGCACAAGGGAAGCAGCCTGCCTTTTTACACCAACCTTCACCAACTAGCTCCCTGCCCCTCCTAACCATATTTCCTTGTACGTGCGTGTGTGTTTAGAGTTCAAGGCGTACATGGTGACTGAGCTGCTGATTGCGGCGGACAAGTACGCGCCGTCGCCCAAGTGGCATGTCGACACCGTCCTCGAAATCATCACCACTGTCAGTGCTCGTTCTTTCATATGCTGTCGTCGCCGTGTCAATTGGTGTCGATGCACTCCTCTCTCCTCCTCCTCCTCCTCCTCCTCCTCCTCCTCCTCCTCCTCCTCCTCATCCTCCTCTCTCCTCCTCCTCTTCGTCTTTTCCTTGTTCGCTGGCCAACCATGCAGCTACTGTCATTATTTCCACCTCACATGCAAGCTCACGACACGCAACCTCTTCACACCACTATCACCACCACAGGCTGGCGGGTACGTGCAGGAGCAAGGGCTTGCCGAGATTATCCAGATTATTGCCGAGCGGTCCGAGTTCAACCAGCGCGCCGTGCAGGTCCTCTTCAGGGCAATCACAACCGCGGTGAGGCCCACGTGATGCTGTTGCATGCATGCATTGGCCTAGCAGCGGCGTCGCTGTCGTCATCGCCATCGTCGTCGTGTCATGTGAACGTGTTGTAGCATCATGCACAGCCGTAACAATCACAGCTGTGCAGACATACACACTCCATTAAGCATACACACGCATGCGTACATGTATGCATACACACAAACACATGCTCCCCCCTCCCCCACCGACTCACCAATATCATGACCCCTCTCATCACCTCTGCCTTTGCTGCGTGCAGAACACGGGTGCCCAGTCGCTGCTGCAGGCTGCGTCGTGGTGCATCGGCGAGTTTGGCGACCTCCTTGTCAATGGCGGCCCGTTGCCTGCAAGCACGCGCACGGTGACGTCATCCGCGCGCGACGATGCAGGCGAGGTGCCCGCGCCGACGGCTGGGGAAGTGATTGAGGTTCTGCACCGGCTGATCCAGGACCCAACCAACAGCGCTGGCACGCGCCATTATGCAATCAACGCGCTGGTGAAACTCTCCACTCGTCTTCCCAACGAGGCAGAGCGCATCAGAAACATTGTGAGTGAACACATGTGCGTTTGTGCATGTGCATGCGTGTGTGTGCGTGCGTGCGTGCGTGCGTGCGTGCGTGTGTGCGTGCGTGCGTGCGTGTGTGTGTGTGCCTATGTGTGTGCCTATGTGTGTGTGTGTGTGCGTGTGCGTGCGTGTGTGTGTGTGTGTGTGCGAACGC